TTTTTTAATAAGTATCTATAAACGGTTTGGAAATAAATACGTACCAGCAGAAAACGAGGGAATAAACGACCGTTTCTTAGCTTAGATAAAGACAAATACATGATTCTTAGATGTCTGTCTCTTTTAAAACAGAAGGTTGGTACGAGTTCCGCCACAATAGTAAATAAATGACGTTGGCGAGCATGTCAGACCGTCAATATTTTCTCAATTTTGATTGGTCAGATAAGCTGGCAACAGTGCTTGCAGGGACTGCGTGTTCACTGGCATTCCCTCACAAAATATCCCCCCTAGGGGGTATGTTCTGTGCATTCCCTATCATTCAAGAATACTATTTTTTTACGCTAGGGATCGTGAGCGAGGAGCGACTCCCTGTGATGCTCCCGGGGATACTCCCTTCTCTCAAAGTCAAGAATAGACTTACTGGTATCACAGATTACAGAGTAACCTCTGTGATCTGTGACTGGTATGTTGACAGTTTTGGCACCCGCATGTATATAAATTTCCGTTCATTTCTCGTTGTGTCGAAAAAGAAGTACATAACCTAGTGACCTACCTAGCCCCCAACTAATCTGAAAATTCTTATCAAACAGTGTAGCTTTCCATGTAGTTTTGATAAAGCGTTTTTCCAATAAACCTAAAGTGCACAATGTCATCAAGTGGTATTTCAAGTTTAAAATGGCAAATCGCACTCGGATTGGGTGCAGTTGGGGCTGTTGGATTGGCGTGCTGGTATATGAAAACAAGCAAAAATGAGTCGCTGCATTCGGTCGAAGATGTTAAAAATGTTACTGAAGAATCGCCGTTCCAACGTGCCCAGAAATTCAAGACGGAAGGTAACAACATGTTCAAACGGGGCAAATACGATGAAGCTATTGCTGCATATACTAAAGCCATTGAAATTATACCGCGTGAATTTAAAACTGATTTGGCCACCTATTATCATAATAGGGCTGCGGCATATGAGCAGTTGAAGAAATGGAGGAGTGTTATTGCGGATTGTGAGCAGGCCATTAATCTGAATAACAAATATGAAAAAGCCCTGTATAGGTAAGGCACATGCATCGATTATCTGTTACAGTTGAATACTTTTTGCCTAAAAAGTTTTGTTGATAACTTTCATTAATTGAGTTGCTTCGCTTTTTAAACTATCCCCCGTAAATTAAGTGCCCAATTGGAGGTTGCTGAAAATTTCAAGCATAGTAGTTATTTCTTTTGCTTTTCCTCTGTCATAGAAAGCATGATTACTGCCACATTTTGATTAGACAGTAATAAGATAAGATTTATAAAATATTTTGATAAGACAGAAATATGGGTAGATAATATTTGAAAGCATCAATTACATAATAGGACTGGCGACATGCTAATCTTTAAATGTGTTGCTAGGTGCTAACCTTTCCAAGAAAGTGGAATTGCAATCGTTAATGTCACAAAAGATTTATTTGTCTAAACATTTGATAATTTTTTATCTAAACCCCATTTGTATGGAAATAGGAAATGTAAATGATATTTAAATTTACATTTACTCATGATGATCAATGATTTGATTATCTATGTCATAAATCCTCACAGCTTTTGTTGCTTACTTTTTATTATGAGGTCTTATTATGATGTCTGGGAAAATGTGTGCTTGCTTTCGAATACATATACATACGGGGTGTCAAAAGAACATGATAAGTTTCTATAAAAACTGTCTACAAGGCATCTCTACCAAGTTATGAGCCATTACGAGCCGCTGAATAGGTTTTTATTATACGAGCCCTAACCCTTTAATGGTTTTAATGATATTCTTATGGGTCTCAGTCAAAGTGTGAAGTAAAAATTTTGAAATTTTGAACATCGTTTATTTTATTACGTTTCGGCGAGACAACAGCGCCATCATCAGATTGAAAATGTACACAAACTCAAACACCAATTTACAATTAAAACATGTATAAAAACTAAAATTTACAAAGTGTTAAAACATTCATCAGTTTTTGAGGGAAAAAATCCTTCCTTCTGGGAGACAAAGAAAACACTAGAAAAAACTTACCTCATGATTGGTAAAAATCAACGTTCTTTTAGGTCTTTGCCTTCTTTAAACCTTAAATTTGTCTGAATTATTTTCTACATTTGCGAGTGGTATTCATGTATTGAGATAAGCAGAAATAATTTTAATTTTTCACCAGTGTACTGGGTGTTCCATACTTTAAATATTTTAATTTAAAAAATTAAAATACTTAAAAAGAAATTTAAGGTTTCAAGAAGGCAAAGACCTAAAAGAACGTTGATTTTTACCAAACATGAGGTAAGTTTTTTCCAGTGTTTTGCTCTCCCAGAAGGAAGCATTTTTTTCCTCAAAAACTGATGAATGTTTTAACACTTTGTAAATTATAGTTTTTATACAACATGTTTTAATTGTGAATTGGTGTTTGTAGTTTGTGTAAATTTTAAATCTGATGATTCCGCTGTTGTCTCGCCGAAATGTAATGAAATAAACGATGTTCAAAATTTCAAAATTTTTACTTCACACTTTGACTCCGACCCAGGAAAAATAAGAATATCATAATCAATACACGCAGCCAGGAAAATAAATCAGAATTAATGTTTTAACCTTTAATGGCTAAAAACGTTCGGACGATGTTCAATGCGCACAAATGAAACCATTTATATTTACTTTAAATATAATTTTTTATTTCTTCTACTGAAAAAATAATTAATTATTTGCGAAGTTTAATAAGAATTAACACCTTTCGGCTTTGACCGGCTTTTATACGTTTTGCCTTTGAATCCATTAGAGTCTGGCAATATTTTCGGGTGAGCAAATTCCAAATTTCAATTGTTTTTGCCTTTAATCTCGGAACTGTTCGCTGAGGATTGTGACGCAATGACTTCTTCATTTGATGCCATAAAGTTTCTATAACATTCAAGTCCGTACTGCCTGAGATAGACGATGAAACTTTGCAATTATGATTTCCAAACCACTTTTTGGTCGTTTTAGCTGTGTGGAAAAGCGCACCATCCGGTTGAAATATACAATTTTTAATTGCAAAATATTGTTCCATAGTTGGAACTAAACTTTTTGATCAAATTTGGTACTTTTCTGCATTTACAGTTCCATCAACAAACTCATATGCCAATGCGTTTACTACTCATACATCCCCATATAAACTCTTGGATAAATTTTACTGTACTTCTGTCTTTATGAAAGGCCTCTGATTTTGTTCAAATCACTTTTTTGCTTAAAACGAAAGCAGATAAAGAAAATTATACAACAGGCAGTCACATTTCGACCGGTTCGGTCTATTCTCTGGTAACATATGTTACACAGGCTGATGAGATTTATACCTATACATATATCTATTTTTTTTGTCGTTTCTTTGAAAGGTGTGAAGTCTATTTTCACAATAAAATAGTTAATGATAAAAATGGATTCAATTTACTATAAACTTTTTCCAACAAAATATGTTGAACTCGATAAAACTATCGAATAATTCGATATTTTTAGTTCGATGGTTTCCAGCGCTGAAAGCATAGTTTTCGAATAATTCGAATAAATTACAACTATCGAATAATTCGATAATTCCCACTACTAACAGAAAGTACAATGTAAAAAAAGACAAGAAAATATTTTCTATAAATATATTAGTGGGTATTCCTGTGCATATTCCCCAGTATTGTTGGTCACTAGTTCAATTTTGTCATACAAACAGTTACATAATACATTTCTGTTAATATTTATCGTTGTGCTACATGATTCCGGTCACGATTATTTATTCCATCAGCGTATCGGTTGAATGCGTACGAACATCTACGTGAGATAATACGAGTCCCATTATTTAAGTTTTCGACTCTTCTAAAACTAGTGAAATCAACTAAAAGTTTGTCATTGGGTGTCAGTTGATGTTTATTTATCATGATTTTATTTATAATTAAACCGAAAGGTAACTTTAAACACCGTAGTTTTCCTTTAGTGATTTGGTATACGAAACTGAAAATCCAGAGTTTCAAATTGATGTGGTCTGAAAAACATTTTTGGATATTAAAACATACTTAACTTTATATTACTGGAAACAAATTCGTTAAAGGGAACATTCATGTTTGTATTGTTAGGAACAAATGGATGTTTCTGGTCTTTTATGAGTATTTCTCGGTATTTTGGAAAATCAGTATGAGTCTAGCAATATTAATTATAATTATAGGAATATTTTGTATAATTTATCCATCGAAACATATGGATTCTTGTTCATTTCAAGCCAAAGTAACGCAATGATGAATCAAATTTAGACATTCGGGTAGTCAACCCCAGTCCAGTCAACATTATCCCAAACATTTCTTTTCTTATTTCCAAACATGTGGGAGTAAGAATTTATGACAAAATATTTCAACATTAATTTGTTTATATTACAAAATTGAAGTACTTTTTTAAAGCTAAATTTAATACTTTTTGAATAGTCGATAATATTTTTGAAGCATGCTGTATATAGCAAATGCTGAAAGTTAGACGGCAAAATACAAGTTTTTAGGCTTACAGTCTTGAAAGTGACAACTGAAGTATTTGCAATTGTGTTAAAGAAATGCTCCATTTTTTTCTTCAAATAGGTATTATGGAAACATCACATTCATTCAATTTGAATTGAAATTTGCAAATAAATTAGAAATTTTGAATGTCAAATAGAATTAAAGAGTGAAAGTTAACAATAAGGTCAAAACAAACAGATCAAAACTTTATTGGGATCACTCAAAAATTTATATTTTATTAAACTGTCTTAAATTGCTTAAGGCGATTAATGGGAGAAAACGATCGCTGATAAGCTTCAAAATGCGCATTAGAATTAATTTTCAAGAAATATATTTTCATAATTTAATTATTTTCTGATCTAATACATCAAGCAAAATGCTAACTTTAATCCAGCCCCATTTGTAAAAAAGGGTTAGGATTCCTTTGACTTCCTGTTTTTCTTCCATCAGGAGAGCCAAAGCTTATGAAATAGTGAAAGATTACGAAAGTGCACTTGACGATGTTACTGCCGTTTGCATATTACAAAATTTTGAGAATTCAAATGCGCTGCGCATGGCCGATAGAGTGCTTAGAGAACTGGGAGTGAAGCATGCTGCGGAAGCATTTAAGCACCAGAAACCGCTGATACCCGCCAAACATTACATTAATACGTATTTTGCGTCTTTCTCAGAAGACGTGGCATTTAAGAAACTTGTTGAACCTACAGAGCCTTTAGGTCAAGGAGAGCTGAAAGGTTAGTAAAATATGTAAAAAGATGCGTGTGGCATAAATTTAAACACTCAAATTTTGACTATTGCTTTTAACAATCCTTCAAGGGATTAATTTGCTTATTAGATGACGTGAGTAGTATTTTTTCAAAATCGTATATTCCCCTTTGACCTGAGAGCCTCCAAACGGTCTGAGCATTGCATATATACAGTAGATAAAACTGATTTTTTTTGCAGTTTTTTCTGTATTGTTTAAAAAAATTTAATTAGCAACAAACTAAAGAAAGAGAACGCAACGGAATTTATTGCTACTATAAATTTGAAAACAAATAAATAAATAAAACAAAATCATTAAAATCACTGATTTAGTATAATCTATACATATCATATTATGATCTCGGTTTAACGCTGGACATGCTCTATAATCTAATTCAGTTTTATCGGAAACGTTTTGAGTATATTGGTTATGATTAATATTGATATCGTTAATTGCATCCAGTATTTTAAGGCGTCTAACTAGAGTATCCTACACAATATTCTTTAAATAACCCCAGAGAAAACAATCAAGAGGTGTTAGGTCGGGGCTAGTTGGAGGTCATTGGATAGAACCCGCTCGTCCAATCGAAATTTCAACATTTTTATTTGAAAACATTGCTACCGGACGAACGTTATGGGGTGAAGGGAGGGCCTTGTCGAATTTCAAAGCTATTTCAATTTGTTGCTATTTATCATTTTTAAAACGAAATATAGGAAAATCGGCTAATACAAATATAGGCAAAATATATATTTTGAAAATCAGTAAAAAAATTCTATTGGTATGTCTAAAAATATGTTAAATTTTGACATTTGCGTTTTATATTTTTATTTTAAATTCAGATTTAAAAAAATTGATGAAACTTTTGTGTTGGTCACTTTCACAATTTTTTTTGAAATAAATGATCTAGGGGGTTGTCAACTTATCAGGAAACACCCTGAACAACGAAATTAATATTGACTGAGCATGAACTAAACTAATCACCGTAGGATTCTTAAAGGCAAAACTTGCCTTCGCCACAGAAAAGTACGAAGAAATAATTCCCGCATGCACTGAGGAGTTAAATCTGAGCGAGTCTGAGTCAAACTTCAAACTAGAAGCACTTGCCCTCAGAGGATCGTTTTATTTTATTACTGGCGAAGACGCCAAAGGAATCGAAGATTTCACAAGTATTATTGAGAATGAATCAGCAGATGTGAATCTTAAAGTGAATGCTCTACTGAAAAGAGCAGCAGTTGCAATGAACAATTCGGAATCAGATGATTATATGGCAGATTATGAGAAAGCTGTGGCGCTAGCACCCAATAATCCAGGTATAAAAATACAATACATTTAAGGAAATGACAAATCATTGATTAATAGGTGATATTTTTAGACGTGTACCATCACAGAGGTCAAGTGATGCTCAAATTGAACCAAACAGAAAAAGCACGACAGGATTTCCAAAAAGCTGTCAAACTGAATCCCAAGTTTTTAATCGCAGTTATACAAAAATATTATACGGACTACAAGTATGCATTGGAACTTAAAGACGTTGATTTGCTCATGAAGGATTTGCAACAATTCAGGGAATCTTTTGTGAAATTTCCGAATCAAGCTGAACCTTACATTTTGTTTGCTGCAGTGAGTTAATTGTCTTACCATCATTTTACATAACATGCAATTTTTATTGGTGATTAAAAGGTGCAAGCAGAAAGAGGGGAATATCAAGAAGCCGAAGAGTTATACCGGAAAGCTCTAAAACTCGATGAGAGCAACGCTTCAATTTACGTTCACTTGGGTCTGTTAAGGATAATGTGGAAAAATGATTTGGAAGGTGGAGCCAAATTAATGAGACAAGCCATCAATATTGATTCTACCTGCGGATATGCATTTGAAACGCTGGCCACTGTCGAAGTACAAAGGTATTAATATTACTATTTAGTGCGACATTAACCACTGCATCAATTAAATCTAATAATCGATTAAAAGGTTATTCTAATTGAGATTATTGTTTGTAGGGGTAATTTGATATCAGCAATTGAACTGTTTAATAGAGCCATTGAAATATCAAGATCCAAAGCAGCAACTGTGCATTTGTTTTCACTGAGAGACGCGGCCGCGTCTCAATTAAAAATGGCTTCTAGGCTAGGTATTAGTCTATCAAATATGATATTCAGATAGATCGTTCAACTTTTGAAGGTACGTGTTAAAATTTTTGTTAATACAGGTGAAGTTTGTGACTTCCTGTTTATGAGTAAATCTAACGTGTCACATCATGAAACGCAAGTATAATACACTCAATGAGAGTTATTTACAGTCAAGCGTATACCTATTAGTCTACATTAGTATAACAATTAACCCGAAAATTTATTGTTTATAATTTTACGGTTTAGAATCAGCAAATTATAATCAAAGGTTTAAACGTACATTTATTCCGCCATAGTTACGTAAAGTAGTAGGGTATTTGAAAGTATGCATGCACTTTAGATGAGTGCAGATAATCACACCATCCAATGTTTTAAAATTTTATTATATTCAATGTGATCGCAGTAGATGATCATGGAAATATAGAAAATAAATTGTTTATTAATTCCCCGACTTGAATAACTTCCTTGGCCTCACTGCAGTATTTCACATATTATTTTCGCTGCAATCTGCGGCAATCCTATCTGTTATACTCCGGCAATTTAGTACATAGTGTCCAGTTATTCATCTACATACCGACAGTATTTCGTAACACTTCCTGAATGATTAAAAATCAAATGAAAATACACAAGTTAAAAATAGACACACATTAAATGCAGTTTATTTTCTTTGACAATAATCTAAAAAATGTACAGCTTTAATGGTTAAGAAAAGGAGATATGCAAGCACATGTTCAGGGACCGTGTGTGCCGTTTTTACATGCATATAACTCGCATTCGGCCACAGAGATTCGATACATTGAAAATACATCACATGTTATTTATTTCTCGAATTTGTATCTAACAAAAATGAGTGATATCTGGTTTAAACAAATAAAAAGTATTACACTTTTACGACTTGCATAACAGCGTACCAACATTCACGCGAGCTTTTGAGTAAAAGAAAACAAATTTCAGTTATAAAAAATATTGACAAGGAATGTTATGAGCCATGAAAATTTTTAGTCCACAAATTGTGTTGAAAGCATTATTTCAATGAGTGTCTGCCGTTGTGAATGTTTTTACTACTATAGCAAGGTATGGTTCTAAATGCATACTTAAATGTCCAAAAGTGTGTAATTTGGTTCGAAAATAATAATCATTCTGTAAAACACATTCTCCAATATGTGAGATTGCACCCAAAAATAATCTGAGAAAAAACAGTTAAACATTATAAAAGCAAATAACAGGTGGACTACTTTCAAATGTTTTGATTTCAGATAATACTGATAATAAATTAAAAAAATGTGTTTTATCACATGTAAAATGGAAAAAGTACCAAAAATACATAATGTATTTACATACATGTTCAGAATATAACTGCGAAAATAAATTGCACAGGAATATAAAACAGTTTTAGTGTTTATTTAAGAGAAAGGTCCAAACAGTTCGCATAATTCAAAGCCTTCGATTTACCTTAGTAAATTATATAAAAATAACAACAGGCTGTCAACCTACTATACTAACATTTGTACATTTCATTAAATAATTTACAACTTTCCTTAACTCTAACAGGGTTCACATTCACGCCTTTTCACTCGGACAAACAGGTCACCTATGGGTTGTCCCGTCATTTATATCATAAAGTATTTGTGCTATTGTTCTCGATGATTCTACGTTACTTAACGCAATATTCGCTAGGTGGGATTCGTACGACTTTAAGTATCTGAAAAGTTTAAATAACTTATTAGAAGAAGTCAACGTAACTCACAGTAATCGTTTGTTATAAACAAACATGCATGCTTTAGTGACAAATTATTCCAGCTGATAATTTCAACAGAAAGCGTAATTTTTATTGTTGAATAAATTATTGATTCAAATGCTGATTCCTTATGTCGCCTTTGTAAATTGAGTTTTGTTTTGAAAAAGGACCGATCTGAATTGGGGGTGTCAAAACCAACATTAAACATATATGTACTTCAAGCTCATAGAGCCGATTGCACATTAAACTAAATATTATGAAATAGTAAAGAATATTTCAATTTATTTACCTTTTGCAATTGCTGCTGTAAATAGCCAAATTCCGCAAAATCAATGATGCCGTCAAACGTATGCTTTTGGTTACTGGCCCCTCGTTATCGTCCTGAAAAAGAAGGGAACTACGCTTTATTCCGTCCTTAATTTGACAACAGAACACGATTTGCACATATTATCAAATAATTACTAAAACAAACCACTCGCGTTATTAAACAGGCAGATAAAGATAAACATGCAATGGGTTGCATATTTGCTTATGATATAAGAATGAACAAACAGGCCCAGAGCTGTTGAAAGCCATTCAAAGTTTTATATGCAAAAGTGTGTATTGGGGAAGAAACACTGGTACGGTTACGAATATAATTTTTACTTGCAATGCAAAAGTTTTTGAAAGCTGTCTTTTTGCTAACATCTTAATATAATGATTGAGGTAGGATCAATACAAAAAGTAGACGGAAAAATAAATTATTATGAAGAGTACCAAATCATTGCACCAGCCTTGGAAGCGGGCAAACAAACTGCAAAGTTAGATGTCACAAAATTAATAATTGTTGCAGAAAGAAAATAATATTAAAATTTTGTGTCAACCCATTTACAAATTCGTTCAGTGATTATTTCATTGGGATTTCAGATCTACTAAAAAACTGCCAAAAAGTAAAGAATTATACTCAAAGCTTCATCACCAACAATCCGTATCATAGCTATAACAATTTAACACCAATAAAAAAGACAAAGCAATCAATAGGCATAAGTTCCGCGATAACAAACGTATGTCCTCAGAAGGCTAAAACGTTGTAAAGTAACGTCTGTTATCAACCACACCTCAAGCTTCCTTTTAGCGTGTCCAGAGCAAAAATGAAATAATAAAGCGAAATTAAAGAAATAATAAACAAGCTTGGTGCACACTGGAACTCAAAAACCAAATACTACAATAAAATGCTCATGATTGAATTGTTATTGTACTATTACAATCGCCTCACCTGATCTGAAGGTGGGAGTGGAACTTTTATTGTTGTGGTGGCGCCCTGCTTAGGTGTTTTGATCTAAGTACAAATTAAAATATTTGAATCAAAGGATTCGTAGAGAATCAACTATTAAGCTACAGATTAGGTTAGTGGCCACCTCAAGTTTTTACTAATGCAAAATTACTTTTAACTGATGTCAAGTAGTTAGCGGGCTACTGTTGTTAAAATGCAACCAGAATCAACTAATTAATGAAAATAAATTAAGCATCTGTTTTTCTTGCTCCGAAATGAGAATTTTTAGGAAAGGAATACCTGTTCTTATACCTTTTCAATGCCAGTTGATTTTGATTTTTACCGTCTCCCACACACTTATGTAAGTTGCTTACCTGCAGTTCCTTCGGATTTACAAAGTCCAATGCATGCCTTTTAATCGCATGTAGCGCTGCATCTGGTGCATACCCAGGGTGACTGGTTGGCGAGGAAGCAGGTGGTTCAACGTTTATTCCCTGGGAAATCTTTTTTCTCCGAACCAGGCTTTGTTTCATCGCCTATAAATGGGAAAGACAAATTTATACGAATAAGACACTAGTCTAAATAATGTTAGTACCGATAACAATATTTTTCTTGGCGTGGCTTTTCAATTTGTGATGTTGAACTTACCTCTACATTACAATGTTTGTCGTGTAAATGAGTCATTAACGAAAACCGCTTTCGTTTTAATAAGTCGCATCGGTCCCATTGGCAGATAACTTCTTCATCGCCTTGCGGACAATGCTCTTCACATGCGTGCATATATACTTGATTTGCCGACTTAAACTTAACATCACTGCAAAAAATGCAAATGTTTGGTTTGATTGTCCACCGCAGCTATAGAAAATATAATACGTACATTACACATTCACCCCATTCGCAAACAAACGGTGTTGTTAAATCTCTGATGATTTTTGGTTTCGGAGGAATTTCTTCTAGTTTCTCTTTGACTCCATTACTTAAAGAAGATGTTGAAGCGGTGCTTAAGGCTGGTGAGGGCGTTGGTGTTGGTCTGGCCGATTTACTCTGTAGAATAGTGTTATTAGAAACCTATAAAATCAGTCGCCTATTTGCTTCTATTCCGTATTCGAAATGAAAACATGTTCCAATTGTATTCGGTAAGGTGGTATTGAAGCCTCTTCGTATTTCACAGCTTTTTTGGAAATTTGTCGAATACAAAAGTGCAAGTAGTTTCATTGCTTACAAATGAAAAACCTTATCATTATTAGTTTAGCGATGGAACTTAACTCTCATTCTCCTAAGATACTTTAATTAAATAAGCTAAATAGTTAAAGAAGGCTAATTAATAGCTAATCTATTTAGACTTTTCATTTACACTATAAAATAAACTAAACACTCACAAGCTGAAATTATTTTTGGAAAATTTATTAATGAATTTTTGGCATGCAATTTGGTTATTGAGCAGCAATTTACTTATATGTTTTCAACTTTAAAATTTGCCCCAAAAATGTATAATAATCATTAGACATTTGCAATTGTCTCCAAGATGTCAGTGAATAAGTAATAATTCAACAGAACAAAAAGCGAGCATTTTTTGAACGTGAGAAATTTCGCTTGACGTCGGAGAAAAAAAAAGATATTTGACCGTTTCTGAAGCATAAGCTGTTTAAATTTTTTTTGGTAGTTTTACTTCCATCTATTTAAAAGGTTACATATCTGATGAAACCCATCGATTTGCAAAAACAATTCTCGAAACTTTCTACCAAAAAGGTAATTCTGCCTAATAAGCTACTTTGAATCCTTGCTAAATAAATTGTTAATTTTGCAACTGCCTTTTAACTAATAGCGTTCTGAGAAAGCTTGATTAGGAAAGAAATTGCTCCAGAATCTATAGAAAACATATTAATATATAATTACTTTGATAGTCTCAGCCGATTCGAGCGATAAATGAAAGTGTGGAATAATTCTTCATTTTATGTCTGTCCATGTGTACGTTAAGACTTTATTTGATATCTAAGCTAAATGCTCAGTCGAACTGGGTCTTATGATAAATATTCCCGACCATTTCAGAGAAATACGCTATTGTCAATGTATGCATATATTTTTGTTTGCGTCCTTTTGAAGGTTTAGAATGCCTAATAAACACTAATGACGGAAAGACTAGAAACGTTTAATCCAAAAGTCACTATGCCCTATGGGATATTCAAGATCTCGGAAAAGCGAACCGTTGCTGCGACGCTGGAAAATCAGAAAATCCCATAGAAAGTTGGACGCAAGTTAGTCGATAGTCATTTCGAAGTGACAAAAGTGTTTTAATAGTTAAAGGAAGGTTTATCCAGTAGACTATTTGCCTTGCGTTTCAGTTCTTGCGACAATAAATTATATTCCGGTTCAGAGCTAGTTCTGGAGTGAGTCGAGTCCTTCGAGCTCCGAAAACGTAGTAACACTAACTAGGGTGCATTTTACAAAAAACTTTTCCATAAGAAGTTGGCGAACGAGAATGCAAACCTTCTCGTTTAGAGTATCAATATGTTAGAATATTTCTTGTACTCTTTATCTTTTCGTCAATGCCTTTGCCTTTCTGAAATGAGTGTCGATTCTCTTCACTTTAGGTCCAACCAAATTAAGTAAAATTTGAAATTCGGATTGTGACATTCGAAGAAAAGTTTCATTGCCTCGTTGTCTCATCGATTTTTTAATAACTGTTCACCACTCGGGCCTCCGCACTGAAAAAGTTTTGTTATTCAGTAATATCTACGAATATTATTTCCTCTTCTTCGGTTACCATTATTAATCCGTTGCAGGTTAAAACCACGAGAACACATATAAACAAGCGTTCGGCGCAAATTTCCTTAAAGTAGGCTGAAAAGCCCCATGGATAGCGTGTTTTGTGTCTGACGAAAATATGTGTGAGCTTCTTTGCTTGAGACATCAATAATAAGTTTTGAATTTTTCTAATATGCATTTATGCAGTTTTTTACCCAGTCCGGAGGCCCGTAAGAAACTTTTGACTATGAATAGAGATCCGGGGCCCAAAATAGTTTGGAAATCCCTGTGGTAAAACGACATCAGTTGCATTGCAACAGTTTTTAGACTTACAGTGGACGATTGCGTGATCGGCCTAGGAACTTGAGTGACGACCACTTGCTGACCCTGTGGAGTGACCATCACTTTCTGGTGATGGGAGGCTGAACCTGAAGGCTGCTGCTGTAGTATGATAATTGTCTTTGATCCGACGCTTTGACCCTGCTGGGCAACCAGCACCGTTTGAGGCTGTCCATGGACAACTGCTGTCTGAGACTGAGCCACCATGTACCCTAAATATCAAACAAAATGTTAAAAAAAACTGTGAATTTCCCAATCGAATTTCAAACAAACCTTGCGACGGATTGGTTTGAATCACGTATTGACCAGCTTGATTACTTTGAAGTAATTGAACTTGGCCTTGAAGTCCCTGTGATAACAACAACTGGCCTGTATTGGTTGGCTGGATAAGAACTGATTGTCTTTGCTGAACGCCCGCATTCACTATCACTGTTTGACCAGATGCAGTTTTTATAGGAGTTCCTAGAAAATAACAATGTTTCATGATAGTCGAAATGAAATACTTTCCTTTCAAATGAATACTATAAATAATGGATAATAAATTTGAAACGAACCTGATGAAAAAACAACCGACTGATTGGAAGTGTGAATCTGTGGTTGCGATACGATTATCTGCCTGGGTTGCGACAGTAAAACCTGCTGGTTGTTGTCCACAATTAATTGCTGCGACATACCCGATTCCACAACTGCTGGAGTAGCGGTTTGTGTCTGCTGCATTAACTGTTCCTCGTCTTCATCTTCCAAAATATCTGCAGCAAAATCGGCAAAAAGTTTGGCTGCAGCCGTTGAAACCGATGTCGGTCGTTCGTCTCGACTAGTGCTCGACGTGTCTGGAGTATGGCAAATATTTCCACGGCCATTCGCATTAGCTGATAAATGCGGTCTTTTTGCATCGACCTCAACAATTGAGTCAGTCGCGTGACGTTTCACACCTTGCTTGTTATCACCAGTTTCTGATTTCATATCTGGAAACGATCCCTCTTGAGTCTCACGTTTTGCACTGTCAGCATCAGTTGAATTATCTTCAGCTTTGACACTATTCGCATCAACTTTCAGATCTTCCATTTTAAGCTCATTGTTATCCCTACTTAAGGCTTTTTCAATGTGGTTTTCTAACAACTCCGATCGTTCATTTTCTAACTTCAGATCTTTATTTAATGTGCCGTTTAATATCGGACTTTTATCAAATTTTTTCTCCAGCAAATCAGCTAATCTAAGAGGCTTGTCAATGCTAATCTCACTACCACTAATTTTTAAGGAATCTTTGGAATTGCTGCTCTCATTAAGAGTTTCCTCTACAATAGGCATGCCATTCAATAAACCTTCAAAACTAGTTAAAGAATTATCATTCTCTTCAGTCGATGAAACAACACCAATGGCGCCGACTCCAGACGTAGATGAAAGTGAATGATTTCCCAACGAATCACTATCTTCATTAATAATTGGCGGCGTTTTGGATTTTAGATTATTACTAAATGGTGCTAATGGCGGGGGAGGAGGTTGTGGCGGTTCCTTTTTTCCTTTCGATATGGTAATGAATTGGGTCGTCGACGACACGGACGGATCACCAACTTCATTATCAGTAAACAGTTGTCGTACCCCATTAATTCTATGCATCTTTAGGGCATCTAGTCTGCTTTGGTTCTTAGGGGTGCCGTCGGTTGACGCTGCGTTTTGTTGGGAAAGGAGTCGCTGTTGACGAGCCGCCACCTGCAGAAAAACATATTATCAGTAAAAATATCCATAATCCACAGTTAGATTTACGACATCTAGACCAACTAAGCAAAAGATTTCAAGAAAGAAAATTAAGATACTAAAAACAAACAAAACAGTCGAATACGAATTAAATTTGTCAGTTATTAACCAATTGGTGGTTGATTTTTATCAAGCTAGTCCTAGCAAACCAAGTGATGTTGGAATATTATTTTTATTCTGAAAAGGTATCAACGGTTTTGTCTCAAACAATAAAGTATCGCTAGACAAATACCTAAATGCTATAATGCGAATTTTTTGGATGGGCACAGCTTTGCAGCCGAACGTTACATTTGAATGGAACAAATACGAAATTAGGTTTTTACTGTGGAGCCTTTTTCAACACCCTTACGTATTTTACAGAACTTGTTAGAAGCAATCGCATTTTAGTGTGTCGTGTTAACAAGTATCATGCGTTTTAGTTCACTCTCAATAAAACGATCTAAAACGCTGTTAATACATTAGAATAGCTAAAAATTATTCTATACAAAAATAACCAGTACATCATCTTAGCCATTGGTATATCTAGAATACAAATTAAGCAAATTAGAAACTGTTTTAATTGAATGGTAAATAAGCAAATTTTTTACGGCTATCGAAAATCGGTACTCCAACAAAGCGCAAAGTCGATAACTTACTCTGAGAATGTGTTAGTGGCGCCCTACCAAACTAAGCTCGGTTAGAATTACTCGAAATGAATCTGGTAACTTATTCTATTACTTAACTTCAAAAGTAAATGGCTGCATTTTCTTTATCTCAAACTGCAACACCTATTCATTCGAAATATGTACAGAGGCGTTTATTTTTGGAAAGAAATAAATAAAGTTTTTCAATCTTCAAAGTTCTTTCGATTAAAATAAAAACGTAACTGAAAATGTATTATGTGAATGATTCTAATCATTGGTTGACACAGTGTTATATTCGAAAGCATATTCAAATAATAACAAGCGGATAATAGTAGAAGAGGCACGTATGCTGGAGTTAGTGTGTTACCTGGGCTACATTTTGGCAGTCTGTTGAGGCAGCCTTCATGCTCACTGTCGACAAGCATGCATCGTTTACCTTTGTCGCCAGAAGGCTTTTTATTAGCGAACTGCTATTACTCTGACCAGCGTGTATAACTTGAGGATCTTGTTTTAATTCCGCCTTAGTCGTTGTTGTCACTGATGTAGCCATGGATGACATTGTAGATGATGATGATGAGGTGGTGCTACCTAGTAGAGCATGGCTCAAGTGAGGATGAGCCATTGCCTTTTCAGGTAAGGGATAAACAGTTAATAATCGAGAAGACAATTTTAAAATAACATGTTCATGCGAAACGCAACATCTTCGGAGTTATAATATCACTATCACGAAATACGACGAAGGCATTTGCTTTGAAAGGAAACGAATACCAAAAATGAGAAGAAATTGAGCCCACAACTACCCGCCTGGAAAATTTGGAAAATAACAAAGATACTCTTATTTAAACATTTCGTTAGGACAGTCAATGTAATCAGTATGTAAAAAACTTTACTATTCAAATTTTGAAACGGATATCAATACAAAAACACCATTATTAGCAGTTTTTAGCTTGGTAACAGATAAATCAAACAAACTACAATCGAACCAGTTGCTTTCTATAAATTGAAGATAGGAATAAAAAAATGTATTATTGCGTCTAGAATGTGTTGTCGGGTACTGAAAGGTTCATACATTTATTACATTTACCCCTTTAATCAGCCTACATCAACAATACTAAAGCCTGTGATCAATAGACAAAAATGGTTTTATAGCAAACATAAAAAATATTTAAATAATATATTTTCGGGGATAAAGGTGATTTTTGAAAGAAAAATTAAAAACTATTTTCAACAAACACAACGACATTCAGCTCCGTAAACAAAAATATTATTTCAATCCTTTCTTCTAAGATGCAAACTATTTTTGTGTACTTATCACTGCCCTTAATACTTTGCGTTCGCTGATTGAATTTGAATTGCAATGCGAATGAACTTCTTTTGGTACCCAGCAACCCATTCTAAACTCAATAAAACAATCAGTTTTTATTAACATTTACAATTTGTTTATTAGTTTAATCAATAATATCAGGTAGGGCCATTTAAAATTCTGATAATAGGGTGGCTGGGCGCGAAAGCATGCGATTTAAAAAAATTAAAAATTATTATTTGAGGTGGTTCGTTTTGAAATGAAACCTCATGATTAATATAGTAATTAGTATATCTCAAATGATTAATGAGTAATCGAATTTTGTTCGAAAGTGCAATCGTAAAAGCAGCAATAATGGCAGTTGAGTAAAACAAACAGGTTCTCGAATACTACTTTCCTACCGAAGAAACTTTGATTTCTTTTGGAAAGCGATTAATTCTTTAAGTTCGATATTGAGCCTCTTCGAGTACACCAAATAAAAATGAGTGCAGAGCTTAAATTTTGTTGTTGAGACTTTCAATGCGATTTTTTCCAATGTGAACAATCTGTATACAATATAAATTAACGCAATTTGAAGATACTTTTGCGGTAAATACAATTAACTGTATTACTTTCTGATTATAAAGATACTTAAAATGCAGTCTAGTTCATTAAACTGATTCAATAAGGTATTAGAATTTTTCACTTTGTTCACATTTTTTTCGTACTTTAACTTGGTCTAATAGCAACAACTAATTTATATTTAAACAAAAGTTTCCAGACTCAAATTTGACAAAGTAAAATTTCAGTTTCCTTGCTCTTGCACCAAATTCATTGTTTAAAGAATAGTTAATGTAGAAAAAAAGTAAAAATTACATAACACGAGCATACATTTCTTTTAAAACTACTGATCTGAATTTTTGCAATCCAATAAAACAAAGGCGATCTCAAACATTCGCAATTTATACCTATTATAACTCCCAAGATAAGCAAACTGTCAATACAAACGAAACTGAGCACAATGTTAGTACTAAGCAACTAATTTTCTTCTGCATTCGATTATGAAAAAAGTGACACTATGATCATGATTACGTTTGCTAATCAGCGTAAAAAATGCCAAAAAACAAGTTAAAACATTGCAAATAAAAACTTAAAACGTACCTACTAAATTTAATATTAAAAACCAAAATAATACATAATAAATCTACACGGGGATTGTAAAGGTTAGGATAGAAAAAGGCTCCACTGTTATGCTATCTTTCAGGTATCCCAATTTCTGGGTGATAAACAACTGGAATATCAATCTAAAAAAATTTACGTATACAACAAAACGTACTAAAGTAACATTTTATTGTATGTATGTTTCTCAGGTAATAACCAACTCAATATGCCGGAAGTTAGGTTTGCAGGACTAACTAATATAACGCACTCAAGTAAAATAAACTGAGCACAAAGCATTTCCTCCAGTCAACAAAACGTTAAGTTTTATAATTTTCAAGTTGATGTGAAACTTTATTTTATCCCGATATCAGGCAAGTCGACAAGACACGGTGCGCTATATGCGCATATCACTGATTGTATGCACAGAATTTTCCAAAACTCGATAAGCATGAATTTTCTCGTGGCATCAAATAGTTCGACTAAGAATTGCCGTCACCACAATAAGTTGCTTTGTATAGAATATTATTACCTGACTTTTAGAGTCACTTGGAGCGATCAGTGTAGAGCTAGCGCTTGAGCTCTCGCGCGGCTTTGGTGGAGCGCTCAGCTGAGCCTTCAGGATAGGAGAGGCGGGAGATAAAATATTCAAGCTCCCATCCGATTCGGCGTCAACAGCCAATGGTGCGTTTGTACCACTTTTTGTTGGTGCCGCGGCCGTTTTCTGTTTCCGACGAACCGTTGATTTGGGAGCTGGTGATGGAGTGAAAATGGATTTTGGTGGAGATAATGGTGGAGGAATATTGAGTTTAAGAGGTTGGGCGCGCACCTTGATACCCTCATAGTACTGCGGATCATTCGGGTTCGCTGGTTTCATTGGGTTTGGACCTACTGTTCCACCGAATACTGACCTGAAAAATAAACGGTCGCTAAAAACACTCTTCCACCACAAGCTAATGGAAATCAAAGTTTTTAAATTAAGCCCATTTGAAACCACCGGACCAAGACTTGCCAAGTATTTACTGCAAGTCATCAATTTAATTTCCTAACAATTTTTCAACATTACCTTATTGTTACTTATAATATATTACGACTTTTCAAAGTCCCCTGTCTGCTTAATAAATGTGCATAGTTTAAGACACTTCTCTGTATAATACATGCACCAACTGAACCATCTAATCTTGCAAATGTAATTGATTTATTAAATACACGATACAATATTGAATAAAATTAATAGTATGAGAATTGAAAAATAATTGACAATTAAATAAGATTTTTTAAAGGAAACAATAATATTCTACAACCTGAATAGTAGTAATAGCATAAATTGATATTTAACCCGCATCTATTATTTATAAATGTATAGTATGAGCAGCATTAAACAACTAACTGTATTACATTATTTTTAAAACATATGCGGTGAAAAATATTTTGGTTGAGAGCGGGAAAACAAATTTAGCGCTTATTTTTTTATGACAAATTTAAAAGGAACAATTTAACCCCGGTAATTTTGATATAAGTGTGCTTAAATATGTAAAAACTAAAATTAATAGACAAAAAATGCACAATAACTCAAATTACAACATTTTAACAAAACGTTTATAAAATTTGATTCATTTCAAGAGTTCCCACTTTATAGCCCGTTTTTTCGATAAAATCAAAACATTCAATCCACAGATTATCCTTGAAAATTGGCAAAGAAGAACATAATTGATGGAAGCGATATCAAGCATCCTAAAGAAAATTGTTATTGGCTAACGTCTTGTCCTTCGTCCGGTCGATTAAACTAATCAGTTTTATATAAACTACCTACACTTACTTTATTGCAATTATAATAACAGATTATTTCCGACTTTCCCGTTTCGCTGTTAACATTTACATTATGGCGCAATGATGAGACCTTTCGCATTAATTTCTGAGATTTCATAATATTTGAGAAGTAATTCCAGATCTTACTGATAAAAGACCTCATTATTGATGTGAATTACTATTCAGTAGTGAAATGAGTGAGTAACTGTTTGATAATTATTTGTATTTATCTGCCGCAAAATTGAATGCAGGGCACACAAATACGAACTAAAAATTGCAACAAAAAACTCACCTAACGCATCTAGGAAAATGCAACGGTGATATAACACCCCGTCGTCCAATTTTCGTACAAGAGCTAATATAGTGCTTATACAATTCTTGATGGTCAACTCTGAAATAAACAAATGTTTATTTTTAAGTGAAATTCTACAAATTTATGGATATGGAAAAATTTACAGAAAGTTTGAAAAATAGATTTTAGACAAAATGTGAACAACATAAATCGAATGGAACTTGTCGATTATTAAATACCAGATGTTCGAAATCTTTGGGTTATAAAAACAATACGACTATTTCTATCACTAGCTGTTTACATTAGAACTGCGAATTTGAAGCGCACAATTCTTAACTACTTTTATTAAAACCGGCGAGTTTTTCGTGCGTTTAGGTCGTCGCGGAAAATAATGTTTCTTGTGTAGAAGTATCTTTTATAATTCTTAAAAGGTACATTTGGCCTTTCGAACTTTCTAAAAAGCACTGACACTGTTCCTTCGTATGACCATTTCTTTTTTTATTTCCAAATTTGCTTGAAAAACCAAAAATACACTGCTGTTGTATGCAAATGTTCTTAGAAGACTGGAAGTGTCTGTTTGGTTCGGAACTGGACAAATTTGCAACCGAAATTGAAATATCTAAATAAAATTACAATTTTTGAGGCGTTACAAAAAAACTTTTGCCAGGCAAAAACCAAACCTAGTGTACTTTGACTATTCACTGTAAGCTTTAAAGCGAAACACCTCTGACGATGCGAGCCATTTCTGCTTGCAAAACGCCAGAAAGAAATTATTTCCTGGACCGCCTAAAAGCCCGAAAACTTTTTCCAAACCAGTTTCCAGCAATCAGGCCACTTTTTATTAATATGTAAATTTATTAAAACAGGCACTGTCCGTTATGATTCTTATTTAAAAAATATATGATGTACAAAATCTCGTACTTGTTTCCTGATCCACAAGGCTCGTAAGTAGCCCTTAACCATGCCAAAGCAAACTGTTCGTTTTCTTGAATCGCTTGCTGATGAGCATGCTGCTGCTGTATCAGCTGTTGTGGCGTAAGAGATGGCATAACCTGAGGTGCGGGCACTAACGGTGTAGTGGTAGTAACCGTAGGAGCAACAGTCGCTGTTGACTTAGTGCTCATCACAATCATCGTTTCTGAAACACAAAACGTTCACATTTATCTTTAGTCAGTAACTAACGCAGCTACTACTTACCAGTTTTCATCGGTGGCGCCGTTGTTGCTGTAACTAGTAGCCTTTGTGGAGTTAACGGTATAACTGATTTGATAGGTGAGTTGGGAAGATTTGAAACGACTTTTACTGGTGTAACGCCAGGTGCTGGAGGAGAACTTGCCATCGAAGTAATCGTACTTGAGACAATGATTGTATTGGTTGCTGTTGTAGTAGTAGATGCGCTTTGTTGAGGAGTAGCAGCAGCAGTAGACTGACTCGATTGTTGTTGAGACGTTTGGCTTTGTGTTTGTAACTGGCTGCCCGATGGTATAGTTTCGACTAGTTTCATTCCAATACATGCTTTTGGTCCATAACTTTTACCTTCCACTGTTACAAGTGAGACCAACGTGTCAATTACTCCATGATTGTTAGCAATAAAATTACATGACCTTTCTCCTAACGAGGACAACGAGTAAAGGCATTCCAAGGTGTAAATTAACAACATTACATCATGTATAGTGAGGAATGAGCAAACTTTTTTGTATACTCCGGACTCCAAACATCGAATGAGAATATCTTCATTCTTCTCGTTTTGGCTTAACTTATTTAATACTTCAACGGATGAGAGACAAGATGCGCGATCGTCACTTTGTAAATTCCTACTAATAATCTTAAGTATACTAGTCCCAATGATATCCGTTTGACCATCTTTAAGCTCCAGGTCGGCTGCTATGTTGCCCAACATATCAAATCCTAAATTCTTCAATGAGCTCCACTGAGAACACGAACATAACAACAGAAACCTAATAAAAGCAGAATTCCTTGTTAAAACAGACACATTATCTTCCACAAAACAAAGATTTCTCAAAATAGTAGCAACTTGCAACACTCGCTGACCTACATAGTCCTGAGTTCCTAACGTTCGTCTTAAACAAAACAGTTCTTTATCCGACGCGTCCGATTTAAACTTAAAATACTTTGGTGGTTTTAAGCTATCTTCAACTAATTCACATTCACAATCAGCATCACGAGTTTCACGCAGATTCTTCGGCAGTCTTTCAGTGTTCGCATCTACAGAATCTAGGTCGGCATACTGTAGAGAATCATCCTTGATTAAGGTATCACAGGGTTTTGCTTCCTCTTTTGGAGTGTAAAAATTAGTTTCATTTGTGAGATCCAAAAATTCATCTGATTCGAGCACATCATTCCAGAAATTATGAATAGGTTTTTTTCTTACATCATTGTATACTTGTACGAACAGTTGCCGAAGAGAGCCTGTAACATAAAACATTACTTTAGTACAACAATAACGACTCACTTTTAGTCGATTCTCCTCAAAAGAATCATTGTACTGAAGAAAATTAATAAATTAAAAATTATCACACTTTGCATGCAAACTTAGCTAACTACTTACTGTGACTGAAAATTCCGGCATGCGCTAACAAATACGTAACAATCCTCGGATGTCTATCCAGCTTCAAATTATGCCTATTGTCGTTCGAAAGTAAAGTACAGACGTTAATTGCAAAATCTTGTTCATTGGGCAAAGGCGAAATTAATGAGAGAGCCAGTTTGTCATAGTCAGATGACCTGTAAGTGTTCAAGTCTAAGTGATGAAGTTCGCGTTTCTCATCTGAAAGTAAAACAGCTTGTTAAATATTTTCAAAGCACAACCACCTACAATACAGCGAGACCAATTAAACAGTGTTATCTACCTGCGTGAAAACGTTTTGTATATAAAAATCGGAATAAATTAAGCACTGTCTGTTCTTAATTTTTATGAAAAAAGTTGCCCATTTGAAACTAAAAAATACTTTAATAAAAACATGGTTGAAGTTGAATATTTCAGGATTTCTCAAATCATACATTTGCAACTTACCCAATAAAGTACGTTGATAAATCAATTTTATTTTTCCGCTTTTAAACTTATTTCGATTCCATTTTTTTATTATCCAGTCAACATATGGATCGAACGCGAACATATTCAACATATAATTTTGTCAATAGGAAACAATCTTTTTTAAATTGCTATTGTTTTAATTTTTTTGGTTATTTACCATTATTTTCTTTTCTCAAATGTGTATCAAAGTGAGGTATTTGAAACGCTTTTGGTAATGTGAATGATAAGTTAGAGAACACTTGAAATTATTCAGGTCTCAGAAACCTAATCACATACAGGGTGTCCCGTAAGCACACGATCAAAAGGGTACTGCGACATTCTTTGGCTCAACAAAAGATGATCTGAAGTAGCTTTTATTAAGAAAAAATGTCTGATTCGTCTGCTATTGAGTTCTTCAAAGAAATGATGTTTTTTAAATGATCGTATGAATTTATTCTTATGTAAGTAATGTATATTTTGATGAAGCATTTTTAGTGCTCGTAAAATCTTAAAACATTCATTGTGAAAACTTAAAACATTGAAAGTATTTGCGCGAAAAATTATTTCTGTTGTCTTGCCAAGTAATGCATTCTCATAATCTATATTAACAAAACTTAATTTAATTGATTGAATAATGCCTAAAAATCATATCAACAAAACCGTTGACATAAAAAAAAATTGATGTCGGTGGTATCGCAGAACCGTAACGTTATATAATTGACATTAATAAAAAAAACATTCCAAGTGTTTTTTTACAAAAGAAAACTGAAAAGCGCTGAAACGTCGAAAATCAAAAGGGAAAAGCTATATAAAAACGTTTTAAATTTTCCTTAATAAAACGATTTTCATGAAAGTTTCTTCAGTGTCCCCCATACTCAAGTTTCAGATAAAGAAGGTGAAATTTCAAATCGATAGTTGCTTTACTTTGGAAGACGCTCATTTTTAAAATAGAGAGCTTGGTTGAATATAAAAATGTTTGTTTTAAGATACAGATTTAACTAGCTGGTAGAAATCAGGATTCCGAACGATTTTATCAAACTATCATCTTGATATGAAAAGTCTTAAATGAACATCGTGAAATGCAAAAAAATGATAGAGCTGGCAAATAGAGTTGTCGAATGTAATAACCCTTAACCGAAGCCCGTTCCTGCTTAATGATCTGTCGCAATCAGTAGTGTGAATTTCAACGCCGTTGCTCATCAAGTGCCGAGCTCAATGCTCAATCCCGACCCCATCAAACAACCAGAGAGGGCAAATCAATAAGCATCCGTTAGAGCCACGCCGTGAAGCGTCGCTAACGTTTGTGAGCACCCTAGCCTATGCTATTTGCACCTCTAATTCGCAATGTTGCCACTTGTCAAAACGAAGCAAGATTTATTGATTTAAAAATAAATGGCGTTTCTCACCCACCAACTAGTTAATTGTTTCCGCGATACATAGTAAGTATCAAAATAGGTACGAAAAATAGATTCGCATTCCAGCTTTCATGCCGAGAGCAAGGCAAATAATATACAGTAAAAATAATAGCTAGTTGTTCAAATACTTCAACAAAAATTGCTATTGAAAAATGTTTTAGTCTTAATTATAAACATTTTAATAAAGTACCTTTAAACAAGTACTTTTTTGTAGAAAAATGACAGCACGAAATGAAGGAATTCACAAGCTAGTAAAATGAAAATCATAGTAACCGATAATAAATTCACGTCCTCGATCGGAATCCAGACAAAACATGATAAAACATCACGTCACCTCATACATATCAGACGGAGTCAGACCATATAATATTGATTACAGTATTAGTTCAGCACATATTAAGAAAAATAAAATACTACACAAATTGAAAAAAGTTCAAATATCTACGTTAATTAAAATTAAACAATCTTAACAAATAGTCTTCACTAATGCTGAAAAGAATCAACAGTAGAAGTTAGCGTAGCAATTTGTTGCGGCTTTTAAAGTTAATAAGTATCGATTCATTCGATCAACGTAATTCGTTTCAGACAGTGATGAGGTTTTAGCGTGAAGTTGATCTTGTCGATTGATTGTAGAGGATGATCTAATGCATATTCAACTTAGTCTCAAGTGCAAGGCGGGTTTTAATTTAAATGATCCTATCAGTGGGGCAAACATTGGATATGAAACATCTGCTGTCGAGAGAAAAATATTTAAGAGTATGATTTTTCGATGCACTATTTATTCATTCGCCATGCGTACCAGGATTAAAATAAAATTAATGCTTTTTTTAGTTTTTCAGTACTTGATTTATTAATAGGTACATACATATATTATATTTCTTAGTTTATCTGAGGTTTTCATGCTCTTTGACCTGATAAAAGACAAAATAATACAATTATACAGTTTCTTTACTATTTCAGATGATTTATATGAATATGTTAGTGGATGCCAATGCCACATTCCAACTAATTTAACGGTCCAAACCGTATCAACTTTCTTCTGCCTGCTACTCCTTCCGCTCGGGAATTGCTACGGAAACGTTAGGTTCAATTGCGCAAAATTGTGTAATCGACATTGAAACATTTGTTGGCTTTCAAAAAACCGACTAGACTTTTTTGTATTTAAAGTATTTGTAATTAATTTTTATTGAACGCAGATTTTGCATAAAGCCATTGTGAGAATCATTTTAAATTATAAAGTTCAAATCTCAACAGAAACCTACCTATATGTAAACTCAGATTTTTCAGTTAGAGTCCATTTTAAACAAATCTTGAAATGTATTTATCATCAGTGCATTGGCACGATTCAAAATTGTTTCTCGTTTAAATATATTATTTAAGTTGCATAAAACAAGCTGGCTAAACAAAGTGAACATGAAAACCTAAGAGGAAAAAATCAAGAACACAAGTAGAGAAAACTGGTGTTTTTGCCAGAAAAGAATAAATAGAAAGAAACATATAGGTATCAGCCTATAAACAAACCGTGGAACAGACTGGAAAAAGATTTCCAGGCCGCATTTCTCAAATTTCCAGCAAGAGGCGTCTAAAGGAAAAAAAACGTGAAAAAATGTCAACACTTTTTTTTTGTAAATTGGGACGAAATCCATCAAAGCTTTCCCTTCATTTGCTTCTACTTTCGATGTTCCGGCAACACTGCAATAATTTCCCGCCAGGGCCGACACTCAATTATTATCGCGTCTGACCTGTTTGGTTTTAAGTTTGTTTCGTGTCGCCGATTTATGAATTGTGCTCACAATCTGCATTTCCAGTCGCTTCATAGTTGGGGCTCACAGTTGATTTAATCGGTTTTATCCGAATTAACACTATCTTTCTCAGGTTCAAAATCGCAACAGTAGTTTGCTGCATAAAACTGATGCAGTTTAAAGAAAACGGTTTATGTTCTGGGAATGTACATGTTTCGACTTCCTTGAAGAGTTCAATAAAACGATTGAGATCACGTGAACCTCATTCCAACCGCCAGAATTGAAATACTGTATGTCATATTTTGCATTGTGTTAAAGTAGCAAGTTCACAAAAAAAATATACATACAAGATTATTTTCAGCATACAATAGCTGCATACCATATACATGTTATATTTAACACTTGACCTTGCTGGATTCAATGTCTACTGGGAACACATTAATACTAGCTCAGTCATTATTCTTACTGGCTATCGCGCTTGATATTTTAAGTCAATTGTTCAAACGGAAATAGAACTACTGAATCATCAAAAGATTTTTCTTATTGGAAATTCTTATCAGCAAATCACAATTGCTTACCTGATACATTATGTTGGGAGTAGACGTAACTGTGTGGAGTAGCATGAAGGACCCGGGCAGACCAACGCTTGTGCCTGCTCTCCTCATCGTCGTCACTACCACGATCACCATCTTCTCCTAGAAAGTACACCTTTTCCCATCGATCGAGAAATCTGCAACAAAAACAAACAAGTTATTCTATCTTCTATTATTTACCATAAAACGTTCGGAAAAGCAAATGCTCAATACGACTTAATTCCGTTAATTTGATTAGCTATCAAAGTTATAGTAAGATACACTTACTTGCTATAATTAATCAATAATAAAGAAATGAGCATTTTTCCAACTAATGTTTAAAAAACTGTGGATGATAATTAAATAACAGCATTAAAATGACAAATTTAATAAAAAATGGAGCCCTGTATTAAAATGTTTGATTAGAAAATGACGTGTGCATGTTTGGTGTACTGGTCGAGTACTTTAAAGCTGTTTCTATAATAATAGCAAAAAATATGCCAAGAAATTACTTTTAATTCTAGCTTCACTTCATCACCGCGTTATTTATTAATCCAAATACATATTCTAAAATTGGTATTTCAAAATGTTATCGATTTTATGCCGGTATTTCACTACGAACTATTCCGCGATATATAATTCAATAAAGTGCGCCCATTATTGAAGGTCATCTTTTCGGCCATTATCAGCTTTACACTTGGAGATGATTCTCCCAATAAATAGGTGCAATGTTAGTAAAACCTGTGTAGGTACCGAAATTACTTGCTTATGCCTCCAAAGAAGCGACTAATTTTGGTGCAAAATTGAATTTACAGCATTTTCAAGTCGTTCAGTCATATGGAAAATAAGTTCGTCAAAATATTCTCGTTACAATCTAATATATAAAGCAGTTGTGTCTGAATATAACGAACTTCAAAAATGAACTACAACTGGTTTGTTATATCCGGAGTTCGCTATATGCGAATAATAATATAAAAATACGTGGTGTATTTTCTTGATTACATTTACACAGAACACAATTCTAAATCTACTTCATAAACTCTGTAATTTGTTTGTACATTTCTGCTGCAAAAAAAGATATGTTTTTTATGTAGTTTCCAAAATCACAAAATTACTCCCATAATGAATAGAAACTTGGCGTGATTGTAGAAAATTCTTGAGTTTCTGACACTTTTTTTGTCATTTTTGAATGGTTGGAACAGCGTCTACAGTAGAATGAGTTTCACCCAAATCGTCATCTTCATTATCGCTTAAAGTTGTGGATGAGGTTACGGTGTCTATAACTTGCTCATCGGTCAAGATTTGTCTTGTAAGAAAGTCATTATCAATGCTTACTTATTCGATGATATTGAAATCACTCAATTCGGTTTTAACTTTTTCTTCGAAAAAATCATGCACATCTTCATCTGAGTCATACTCGTAGTCAAAGTACATACTTTATGCTTTTCCAACCATTGGTTAAGTAGAATTTCATCGTCTGGTTCATAATCATTTTCTTTTCTTACAAATCCACCATGCTTAAAGGAATTTGCAATTGTTTTTCTTGGCTAACTCTTTGTCAAGCTCCATGAATGAAATTTATTGCATCTAAGAGACTTATAGAAAATGTTTCATTTTTATCGGTTGCTCCTAACATTTTCTTATGAATAATTTTTCTGTAATTACATTTTGACGAATGTATTACTCCTTGATCCATAGGTTGGAGCTTCGCACTTGCGTTAGGCGGCATAAAAACCAACTTGATTTGTTCTTATTTAATATCTGGGTGTTATAAACCATCGTCAAGTTCGTTACAAACGGAAAGTGACTAACCTCAAAAGCCATCGTTATATCCGGAAGTTCGTTATAAACAGGATCGTTATAACCAGTAAAAAAATACGTTGACCTGAATGAATGACGTTTCAATATAACGGATATCACAGATGAATTGCTTATATGAAGGTTCGATAATGACTCTCCAAGGCACAGCCACAATTACATAATTTTAAATCAATAAAGTACGGAAAAATTCTCAATGATGTCGCTTTCTTTTGTTGTAAGAGTTTGTTGAAACACTCATACCAATCCAAAGCAACTTATTAAGGAAAACAATACAAAAAATCAAACAGACCCCCAAAAAAAGCTCGATTTCTCACAAAATCCCTTTTCCTCGCCCTCTCTAAACTGAATTGATGGAGAAATGTTGAGTGGCTTCTAAAATCAGTACAACACTGAAAGCGTTGTAATCTTACAAAATGCAGTAAGACAAATTCATAGCAACGGATCCAGAACTACACGTAAGATGTTTTGAATCACTGAATCGAGATAACTGTGAGGAGTTTTTGTACTTAAAAGTTGCAAAAGCACAACGAAATTTGCAAGGAAAACACGCAAGCGAGATGATCAATAATAAGAAATTAGAAACTGACTGACTATTGAGATAAGATAGCACCACGGAAATGTGTTGCAGTTTCTTGACCCAAACTAGTGATCCGCTCGCCGCAGGAATTCAGTCAGTGGCGGTACATTCAAGACGCGATAGTACACCAATAATGCTACTGAGCTGGCTACTACTTATCGAAATGACACTGACCTAGTGCAAGCCGACATGAGAAAGCAGAAAACACGAGGACACAGGAAATTGGCGCCAAACGACCACGTGATATTGTTATTAGCCGTTGGCACGAGGGTGTTCTTCGCTTTGACGGTCTAGCGCTTTCCAGTCTATACTCAACACTCTTCCAGACCAGTCTACAAAACGCGGGTCAGGGCAAACTTTCCAGAAATACAGTTTGCGAATCCTTTCATCGACCCGATCGCGCATTTCGGTTAACTGTTCGGATCGAATCCTCGAACGTAGTCACATTCAAATTGTCGGCCCTGCATGGTTAAAGTTCCGCGCCATTTGTGCAGAAAAGCTCTGAAATGTTGTTGCCGTGAATCGTTGAAAATATCTTAATGTCCTTACAGGATGATCTAAACTAATGACATTGTTCTGGAGGTGTCGACGGTGAATACCCAGGAGGTACAGGAAAAATAGCAACACAAAATAATTCTCGCAAAATGCATAATTTTGCTTAAGGCAATTGAAAAATTTGATTTCAAGTGGGTTCTCATTGTTTAAAAGAATGTTTAGATCTCATAACAATTTCCTCTTAAAGGAAAGTTGATAGAACGGTAGTGCCATTGTTCAAATTAATACTTGATACTGATTGGACTTTTCTAAGGTTCTACACCGTGGATTTCGAGCGTTTCTCGTGTAGAAAGTTTAATATAATTAGAATATCCCCCAGGAGGGTAAACTTCGTACGATTTAAACATTATTCTACAATTAAAATTTTGAATTGTAAAAAATGATTTAACACTTGCGTCAAACTTGCATTTTTATTTCAGTTTCTTGCCATTCTGAGTCACAATAGTTATGTGAATGAGAACATATTTACTAAACAACAGAAGGAACTTAAAAATCGAATGGGTTAAAGTCAGCCCTGCGCCGGCCAGGCCCAAAGACTTCCATCTATCAATCGATTTGGAACATGTAGGATTAGGCCATCGTGCATAAAAGTCATGTGCCGTTAATTCAGCCCAAAAAAATTAATCAAGTTTGTCAATCAAGTCATCGATTAATCCGCACCTTACATAAATTTTAAACTAATGTTGAAAATGAGGCTGAGAAATCCTTAGAATCCTTAGAAACGTCGGATCGGCATTGCTTCGATGATCGTCCTCTAATAAATTCTGTACCGACGTAAAATGTGAGGCATAGATTATTTGAGGAGGTGCCAAGCAAAACCCTATAAGTCTGCCAGATTGAGAATTTCACAAATGCCGAAAAACTATTTCATAGTACAATTTTCAATTGGTCCTTGTGTTTATGTCGTCATTTATACTTTGACTGAAATATAAATCAGGCACACCTTGTTAAAATCGTTTGGTTTTGAATAATTTCTTCAAACTTGTCGGGTTTTGCTCAAAACACCGCGCGGATTTGTGGTATTGTGGTAAGATACGAAGTTCGCTAGATAAGTCATGACTTTTTAAATGAAAATTTTTTTTTGCCCAAGAAACGCTTTATTTCTCCACATAACCTCATTTTAGCTCGATACACTTAGTCCAGCGTCTTTCCAATTTTTTTTATCCCTTCCAAATAATATCCTCTTCATTGGACCCAAACTCATACCGCCCAGCCACTTCCTCAGGTTTGGAAACAGGAAATAGTCGCAGAAGGCTAAATCTGGAGAATATGCGAGGTGGGGTAGCAGTTCGTAGTCTAATACACGTACACACGTGTGCACCTGTGCATTGTCTTGATGAAACAGCACTTTTTCGCCAAATGCGGCAGTTTTAGCTTGAACCATTGAAATTGATGGTGGAGAGTCCCCTTAATATTGATCAAGCCTTCGCTTCGTTATTTTGATTGTTTTTTTTACGTAAAAATATTGTTTGATCAGCACTCGAAATTCCCTTTTTTCCATTTTCGTCGAAATTGACGAAGTCATCTCCTTTCAATGACTGATAAACACGAACTAAATGGCGTAGCGTGCTGAAAATTTCATAGCAGTCTACTAACAGACGATAGTTAACAGAAGTTGTGTTGAATTTAAAGTTATTGAGCGGGAAATTAAAAGTCACTGACTTATCAAACAACCCTCGTACATAACGAACTAAAATTTAATAATCAAGTTCAGTAAAATTCTGTTTGGTTTATTTGTATTTTCTAAACTAAGATACAAAGACAGAAAGTTAAAATTGACAACAAAAAATAGACACAATTAGTTGTGTATAAGATGTGGAAGGCCTCTTCTAAGCGGCATCATTCTCACTCTCCTTCTTTCTGTTCTTCCTCTGGAACAGTGGGAACATTTTCGCCAGTTACAATATTTGTATACCAGAAAAAGCTTTCATATATTTCCAGTTATGGCCATACAGAATACATAATAATTCATCTACGTCTTTTTTCTTAGCAGCACTAATTCGGTGAATCAGGTGAATTTCGTTAGCGAGTTAATTCCAACTTCGCTTTAGCAGGATTGGGCTCAAAACGAAAAAAACCCGTTGTCCCTCACAGAAATAGCACGACCTTTTTCTAAAACTCCTTCTTCAAAAAAATAATTTCTTATCGGCAATTTTATCCAGATTTGCAAACAGGATTGAAGCCCTTTGATATTCTTCAACCTTAAAATGTTTACAAGTTTCCGAGCAAAAATAATAGCAATTAATAATTGCATTAATATTAGCTGCAATGGACTTGTGAGATTTTGGGCATATCAGACATAATTATGCATATGTATGGTTTTGCTTGGAAAACGAATTTTTCCAATGAAGTTTTACAGGCAATTGTGGAATTCTGCTTCAACTTGAAGGCATATACAAAGCAAATAATCGATAAGAGTAACGCTTCAGCCGTTAACTCCAATTTACAAAATTTGTGACTTGTGGGGTTTTGTTTGGCACCTCCGCATTTCTGGTTGAGTAATCATAAGAACTGAAGACCTGCTTACACCAACAGCAGAATTTCCGTTCGTCTTGTGCTTATTTCTGAATTTTCTCCTGCACCAACCAGAACTTTTTTATCATGTTCTGTAGTTAAAATTTTCGGACGTCTCAAAATATTAACTTTGATCCTTAAGCAGCAGTTTTTCCTAATAGACGGCAAATGTCTGAAAAATATGGCTGCGTCCTATTGAGATGCAATGCAGTACTAAGTAAAGCCGTTCGGTACTAAAACTTTGCTGGACATAGACTAGTCAGTCAGTTTGCAGATTGCCAGATTTCGTACATTTCCGATAATACATGTCGTTGTATGTTTATATTAGCAAGTCGCGCAACGCGATTCGCCTTGCTTGCTGCGTTGGTGCTATCAATATTCTACACAAATCGTCAGAGGTGGTTTCTCAATGACGCCAAGTGCGTTCTCGACTAACTGCTTGGATCCTTGTTCAGCTCTAACGACACTAGTTCACACGAAGGTGCACGATACTGTACTAAACTGTTCTTCTAATTTTCGATCTCTCAGCGACAGTGGGTCTGGGCGGCCCAGACAGCTTGTCTGGCGAATCGGGATGACGTGAAAGCAAAAACCATTTTCAGACACTCGTAGTTCCCCATGTAGCGCATTGCCGCTATCAGAACGTTTAGAACGTTGCCTCCACTATGAACCGAACGTTCCGTTCATTCACTAAAGCGATTTTCACAAATAAATACCTGACCTGCTGCAATTGACACTCATAGGGTGCATAAATAATGCGGGCCTCATCGGTAGAAACGCTTGCTGTTGTGCACTAACAGTTCTTATTTGACGAAAAAATATGAAATATGATCCTAATGTACATGTCATCCAAAATAATTCACGGAGGAAATAACATGATCTGCAACTTGCAACGTTTTATCAGCAGTTTAAAGCCACGTCGATCGAATAAATTGCAAGAAAAAGCACACATACACCACTTTGAATTACGTTAATTCAAACACATACGAGCGGTTACCAGACTAACCCCGCCTAAAAAGGGTTCCTCCTCGGTATTTCCACACTTATCCCTATAACCTGGTACATAAACAATCAGTGTCCTTTTTTATGTGTTTCGCTGGAGTTTATGGTCGCCCGAGTGTTTTGCTTATATCGACAACAGAATCAACCAATTTTTATTAAATCAAAACACGGAAAAGTTGAGAATAGTGGAAACAATTTTCGATTCATTGGTCTTGCTAAAATCGGAAACTTATAGTTTATCATTACGGCATCTAAAATCCGTTAACTGCATGTATTGGCTATGTTTCGGTCTAAGTGGAATTCACCCATCACCAATTTCCGATATTTCTAAGCATTGCAGTTCGATACCAAAATTATCGGTTTTTCTTTTGACTTAGATGATTTGATCAATTTGACTTACAGTTGATTGATATTAGTATCAATAGTAATTGATGTAAGTTGGAATTAATCCAAAAAATATTTCGCCTTAAATCAATTTTCAAAATTTCTCTCCCATAAGTGTCGAAAATTGAATAAAATTTTTCTTTAAAAAAAAAACCAAAATTTCCGTTTTTTCTTCCACCCTTTCAAATTTAGAGATTTTTACTTTATTTTTTTTTGCTCGAAATCGGAGCATCGGATCAAACAAAGTTATTCTTTATCAAATCGATCCAAATTTCGAGCCTAATTAATATGGAAACACCCTGCAGATGAAGGAATAAAAAACCATGCAATTGAACAGTGCCAGTAGTGGTAGACTAGCGATAAATTGAAGTGAAAAAACGGAAAATTATTGCCACACTTACAATATTAGCATGCATCAATTGAATCAAACTAATTGCTCAATGTAAACCTTAATTATGTAAAATACCTCAGATAAACTTATAAATCAAAAGACTAGGATAAAATACATTTTTTCTTAGCAAGTACAAAGAATGTGTACATCCCATACACCTGAATCAAAAATGGATTTACAAATATTCCTCAGAAAACTACCTTTAATTATCGACGAAAAGATAACGTATTACAGAACGCGAGTCTCGCTGTACAATTTTATCGGTGTATTTTTTTATTATTCCTTCTTTATCTGATCAATTTCATAATAGATAGGGAGATATAGGCGTAAAAAAAATCAATATCACGCAAACGCTGAATATTCAGGTCAATTATGCGGGTGTTTATGATGAAAATATGAAAACATTGCATTCATGAAACTGTTTTACTCACCTCAAGTAAATTTGCTTCAAAGCAACACAACCATTGACACTCAGGGGCAGCTTGAAGTGCTGCCAGTAATTGTTCCAGGAGTGTTTGGCGTTAACCTGCAAATATATATAAAAAACTATTATCTAGAAATAAAATCAGCATAGATCAAAATACAGTTTCAACTAACTAGGAAATAAGTAAGATCTTGTTTAGTTTTAAATGTTTTCATGAAATTATCTGGTAAGTGTCCTCAAACGGTGTTAAAACTAGCGGAAATTCAAAATTTTCTCTATAAAACTTAATAATGTAATTTAATAAAAAGTATGTGTATTAGGTCGCTTAGAAGTAGAACTATTCCCGTTCCTTCCCATCGAAAATCATCTGAAGCAAGCCTAAAATTTAGAACGTAGGTGTTTGCTTTAAACATTAGAACCAGAACTAATCAACCCAAACCAAGACTAATCCGACACACCATTCATCGAAACATGAGCAATTTGCTGCACGTGATCGTTTTCGGAAATCAACATGCAATTTTGCTTCGTGTTTAATGAAAACGTGCTTTGCTCTAAATTTACGAAATTTAAAGAAAAAATACGGATCAACTTTTTTTCGCTCCGAATAATAGTATAGTTCCTCCAAAGTATTTCGGTACTTAGATATTAATGTAAAGGATCTACTATGCAACACATGACATACTTTACCTAGATAATTGAGCCAAACTAATTGAGAAACATTGAAAGTAAATTTACGCAACCCGATAAGCAATTATCTAATTTCTCTCGAAGTATCAATGTTGTTTCTGATATGCTGTGATTACTCGCAAATAATTTTTTTTCAGAAAATTTGTTGCATATATTATTTATAAATTCTGATCTAGTTTCCTGACTGCGTGTACTTGTTATTATATTCTTATTTTTCCTGGGACTCAGTCGAACTGTGAAGTAAAAATTTTGAATATCGTTTATTTCATTACCTTTCGAGGAGTATATAATACCAATCATGGGTTTGTCTAAATTTTAAATCTGATGATGGCGCTGTTGTCTCGCCGAAACGTAATGGAATAAACGATATTCAAAATTTTTCCTTCACAGTTCGACTGAGTCCCAGGAAATATAAGATTATAATTATTTATAAAGCAAAATTACATTTCTATGTGGTAACGTTAAGCTTTGCAGAAAGCATGCTTCAGTTTAGCTGAAAATTAACTGAAACTGGCAACCTGGTTTGAAGGCGAACAGTTTTCAATCTGTCGGGTTCATCGACCCAATGAAAAACTCGTTGTCTACACTCGACAAATTCAGCCATCAGTTTCCCTTGTTTACAGAATGCATGAAGGATGGATGGGCAGAGCTGCTACACATACAATAGCAGGTTCACTCATGTTCTCGAAAATTTGTTACACGATATGAGAACAAATCGTGCAAGGCCTTGGTTGCCATCAAGTACATATTCCAGTAGAAACCGAGCCACTTTTTTTACATAAAAATAATAGCCCCAGTTGTCGAAGACGTAACAACATACAAGAGATTGATCAGTTTCATGGATGGCTGTAGGCGCAATAGAACCGGTTTGTTTCCATCAAACAGAGAACAGATAAAGCGCAACAAAAAACATTTACTATGTATGACCATATATGGAAGCATCAAATTAGAACTATTTAATGCAGGAATTAGTATTAAAAACATAAAATGTGATATCCACAAGTCGAAATGACTGTGCATTTCAATTTTAAGATAGCATTTTTAATTGGGTAGATTAAGCAATTTATCATGGTTCATTCTACAATTGGTCGATTTTAATTTGAAAAGGCTTGTAAATTTTTTGTCAAACCTCAATTCTTAAAGAGTTATCGGAAAATGGATTTTAAGTTGGCATAAGGAGAGTAAAGTAAAGAGCAAGAATTAACGAAATGTTTGGTTATTTACAAAAGTAAGTTCAAAAAGTGTCTAAATCTATTACATCATTAGCTAAATGATGGTTGTAAAATCATTCACATTTTCGTTCCGAATTTTCTTAATACATACATACTATATGCTTCCGCTATACCTACTTGAGCGAGAAGATGCACATAAAAAATGCCTTTTATATGAACGTTATAAAGCTTTTGCGATAAACAGACGTTGTAAATTTAGAACACAGCAATGCCAGCAAATATTTGGCAAGTACTCACTGATCTCATAATAAATAAATACTTGAGTCGATTTTCGAGGTTCAGGGATGCTTTTTGTTGCAACGAAGCGCAACTACTCTATGCGCTAAAATACTAATACACATTATAAAGCAATCATTTTGTAAGATTATATAATCTTAAAATTCAAAGTAATTCAACAAGACAAATACAATAGGAAATATGATTGTTACCCTGGATAATGACACGCTTATGGTTGTTTAACAACCCTTGATATTATCGAAAATGGTGCTTTATCTGATAACATTTTATCAAGAAATGCTTAACCAAACACGTCATTTCCTTCACTCGATTGGTATTATCTCCTTTAGTGTAAGTCTTCTATCTTCTAGTCGAGAAATGTCTACAATTAAATTGGACTGCACGTAGCCCTGATTTAAGCTCGATCGAGCACGAGGAATAAGCGGGGGAAAGCTAAATTTCTATTGACAATCAAACAATGTTTGGCTTCCTGGAATAAACAGTGGGAAAATATTCCGCAAGGGTTTATTGTGTGAAAAACGTACCACATCGCATAGCAGTCGAGGAGGCAATATAGAAACTAGATCTTAATAGTTGTGAAATCAGCGTTACAAAACGATTCAAGTTAATCTAACTGACCTTGTCAAATGCGTTTAGCAGTTGCGAAAAAAATTATACTTTGATTGTAATTTATCGTAAATACACTCCTTGATTTTGAAACTGCTTCCTAAGTTGCTGGATATGATGGACATTTTGGCAGCATAAACTCAGTCAAAAAAGTTTATTCGAAGTACCTATTCTACTCAATGATCTGAAAGGCCGATTAGTTATTAGACTCAAACAAGTTAAATTAATTCGAAGGAGGGCTTATAAAATAAAACATAGTAGAGAATGCTTGCAAGTCATTCAAACAAATTTGAAGTTTTGAAGACAGCCAACCATATAAAGAATCAAATGTTCCCAATTATGGGGTAAGTTTTTCAAATGTTTTTCTCCCCAAAGAATCGTTTTCCCTTAAGAACTAATGGATATTTTAATGCTTTGTAAATTATAGTTTTTGTGCAACATATTTTCATCTGATGATGGCGCTGTTGTCTCGCCGAAACGTAATATGAAATAAACGATATAAACATTTTTATTTCACATTTTGACTGAAACCCAGGAAAGAAAAAATTTAATACTAAAGAATGTATTAGATTTTAATTCAATACATATTTATACAATTGTATAGATGGAAATTTTTGAGAATTTAGACTTACTTACAAAAACATTAGTCAACACCATGCAATGCTACAATCTAACTGTTTGAAATTCTTTACATGTATAATAAGCCGTAAAAAAGTTAATCACTGGTCGTTTCATCTAAACATGACGCCTTTAAAAGCCTAACAAATAATTCAGTATTTACTGATGATATAGAAATAAATCATGCAGTCTGTTGAACGGAATTAAATGATTCAGTTGTGATTCACGCTTTTTATAAAGGATATTACATCCCACCTAGGCCATACAGCGTTTAAGACGAAATTATTTCAAACAAAGAAAACCATTCCCAGAACTGAAAGCAAATTATAACATTTTTTCAAGGTTCCAGAGTACAGACTGAACAGAACAGTCAAACGAGGCGAAGTCGATAAAAACTCGTTTTTGTTCGAGAGAACTACAAAATAAATGATATTTTAATGCAACCTAAAATATGTATAATTTACTTTTGTCGTTGCATAACTAACAAAAAAATATGCGGGTTTGTACAAACAAATTGAATATACGTTGTCTTTAGCCGTGGTTCAGTATGAAATCAACTTCTCACTTTTCCTACATTTTACGTAAACATTATTAGTTTAAAATAAAATAAAACACATTTTCTTTAAGAAACTATAGCAACACCTAACTTTTGCTCGTACAAATAAAAAGTTTATTAAATATAAAAATTGGTTTTATTATTTGATTGAACTTTGCGCGGGTTATTAAATTAGAATACAGCAATATAAGTATGAAACGAACCATACAAGAATTTTAAAAACACAGAAAAAAAATTTATTAAAAGGAGTACAGATTTAAATACTTTTGGAAAACCATAAAAGTGAATACAACTATTCGGAAAGTATTTCGGAAAATCTGGAGTAAATAACATATAGGGTTTAGTGACTTTGCCTACTTTTCAACAAACAATGTCCTGACGGCACCCAAAGTTGATTATTAACTCATTTTTTATTTATACTTCTAATACTTCGATACTTTTTGCTTGACTTTACTTTATAGAAAAACATGAATTCCACTGTTTTACGTTAATTCTGAACTCTTAATATATTCTACGTTGACAAATTCCGGCCATACTCTTCTAAACAAACAGCAGTTAATAAATATTTCATAACAAAATAGAAGCTACTCACTCCTATAAGAAATATAATATCGAAAACCAGGAAAAAAAACGAAACTACTTAGGCGCAGAACAGAAGGATCGTGCTCTAAATGCTCAAGACGCCACTCAACTGGAAATTTAAAAAAAACGAATAAATACCAAAAGGCAGTTACACAGGCTCTATTCTCTAGTGGCATTAAATTGCATCAGTGTGTAACAATTATATTCATTGTTAAGGCGTTAAATTCTTCACCATTCACGATCTTTGAAAAGGAAATAACATGGAATAACGTCTGGATTGTTGTATTGCATTGTTCCAAGAAGGGTTTTGGGAATCTTGCAGACGACTATAATGTACTCGACTCTCGCGACGCTATTGTTTGTAATCCGTCTCAATTATATAATCTTAGGGAGCGGGAGTAGTTTAATTTCTTTGTTTAAGTTTAATCTTTAAAAGTTGGGAAGACATGATGACTACATCGCACACAAATTAACTACCAATAACTAAACCCGCACATAAAATTAAAACTACCAGAACACATCCAAACAAGCGTTCAGTGAAAATTTGTTTAAAGGAGGCTGAAAAACCGACAGTCCCATGTCCA